CTGCCAGTGACGCTTGACCACGATCTATATGAATAGGATCTTTTGCACGTGGTCAACGAGCCGGTCTGTCTTATTATTACCGTTATATTCTCCATAATGGACAATTCCATACATTTAACGATCTCCTTCCTAGACGGCGAAAACATACGATAACATACCCGGCCTTTGGTACAAGCGTGATAGGTATTTTTCTCAGGTTTTTTCTTAAGTTATGATTCTGGAGTATTAAGTATGAGTCCTTAGGCCTCAGTAAAACGTAGTATTTGATTTCATCATTTCAATATTCCAGCCCCCGCATCATATAAATTCCTTGTTTCTTAAGTGGGAAAATCATTAAGAGGCAGTAGGAATATAATTGCATTAGGATTCTCTAAATGCGTACAATATATTTTGATGACTCCGTGGCGCAGTTGCCAAGGCGTATGGGACGTGGGTTCGATTCCCATACGGGACTCATATTTGTGTGATCCCACAGATAGTTGTTTCGCATTCAGATGTATGTCCACGTGAAATTTATGTTTGTAATAAAACCGTTTAAAAACTTTTAAGTTAAACGGTTTTATTTTATGTTTTTTTTTGTTAATTTTTTTTTTTTGTTAATATTGTATTGTCATCTAAATTAAATGTGTGTACCAAATTTCAGAACAATCTGACAACGGCAAGGTGCTTAAATTTCAATTTCTAATTTTGATCCAAACAAACAAATTCCGTAAACAAAAACGTCCTTACAGCACAGGATAAGGTTATCCTAAAAGGCAATATAAAAAAAAATTTAAGATCTTATGTCTACACCAGATGATTCGAAGTGGAGCTTCGCTCAATGAGTTACCTATCGATTCCCCAGTATTATCGCTAATAGTGGATACTAACTAACTATCCTCAATTTATTACTGATATGGGGATCCATATCCGTAATAAATTGATCGTGAATTTGGTTGTTATATAATCAAATTAAATCTAATTACTTTTAATACAACATTTTATAGGATAGTTAACATAAAGATGTTTTAATTCTTTCTTAAAACTTCTATAGGCGGGGGGTGGGGGTAACTGAATGCTTTGAACGACGACAATGCAACGGGAACGCGTTACGGTGATGACGCGTTCATAAAGCATTCGAATTATAGTTGTCCGACCATATATTAAAATTAAAAAGAATTAGTCATTCATTATGTATTAGTTACAATAATAACAAATTAAATTATTTAAAGTAAATTATTATAAAATATTTTAACGATTTTTTACTTTTACTTCAACCGCGTATAAACATTTCACGCACTCTCTTTTATATCTTGGATGAATTATAGATTACACTATGAATATTTCTTCAGCAAGCGCCAGACAGCATGCTCAACGCGCTCACCCACCTCAAAGAGAAGTACAACAGTCCAGCGTTTTACATAACGGAGAACGGCTGGTCCAGCCCGCCAGACTCTGGTCTCGTGGATGACGACAGGATCCGGTACTACCGGGCGGCCTTGGAGAGCGCCCTCGATTCCCTCGACGCTGGCGTGAACCTGAAGGGCTACATGGCCTGGAGCCTGATGGACAACTTCGAGTGGATGGAAGGCTACACGTGAGTTCAACTATTCAACTCTAACAAAGAATCCCACTCTACTTTACTCTATTTTCAGTCCGTATTATTGACGAGCCAACTGGCGTAGTGGATAGCGAAATTATCTCTTGCGCCAGAGGGTGTAGGTTTGATCCCCACTACTGAAAATGTATGACGAATGTAGTAATCGTCTGATGAACATAGTAAGTTTAGTTCTTACATAAATGAACAAAAACTTTCAGCGCTTCTGGATCAAACCTGCGTTTCGCGCCCATGTTTATGTTTGATTCACGTCATTCAGTTCAATATTAATCTATAATAATATATATTTACTACTAGCGACCCGCCTCGGCTTCGCACAGGCATATTCTAAGCATACATAGGGACAAACAGACAGCGGGACGACTTTGTTTTATACTATGTAGTGATTATTATTGAAAGTCAAAGTTAGAACAAAATAGTGTGTACTTATCCAAGTTATAACTAACACCATTTGCAAACTTCAATTGGCTCAGAAAAGGATAATATTGCCCGTGTTTCGAATGCTTATATTTCTTGTAATGAATGAGAACCGCTTTGCCAAATACAACGTTTACAAGTTTTTGTTTGTATGAAATAGGAACGTAATGAACCAACTGTTTCAGAGAACGCTTCGGCCTCTACCAAGTGGACTTCGAGGATCCGGCGCGCAGCCGCACGCCCAGGAAGTCGGCGTTCGTCTACAAGCAGATCGTCAAATCGCGCGTCATCGACCACGAATACGAGCCGGACTCCATGACCATGACCATCGACGAAGGTCACTGATGCCAATAAAGCGATTTAAGAAAGGAAAATTGAGATTTAATTTAAATTTCCAATTACGACTATATATTTGTTATTGTAACTATGCATTCATACTTCGAAAAATACGAACCAATCTCTTTCTTCAATTCAAGTGTAAACTGTTACTATAACCCCTGTACTTTTTATTTATCGTTTATAGCGAAAGATATTTTTTTTATGTGGGGTGGTAAGCCGTCAATGGACATTTGCAACACTCGTAGCGTTGCGGGTATGTTGCCACCTTATAATAATATATAATAAAATTAAAATAAACATTTAAAAATAAAATATAGTGGACTCCAGCTATCACCAGACGAAAGGCTTTCAAATCCAGAGCATGAGTTTGCACACATCCTTGTCCTCAATATATTCTCTGACCGAACTTTCGGCAAAACTTTAAGTAATAAGTAACAAAAACCTGATAAGACAGCACTTAAATTTTAACAACTGAACAATTTCATTGTTGCCGGCAGGAGACCGTCTTTAGATTGCTTGAGTATTTTTAATTAAAAGCGAGCGTCCGGACAGTTCTATAAATAAATATAATTATTTTCGGACACATTTTTTACACAAAGTTCTCTGGTCCCAAACTAAGCAATGCTTGTACTACGGGTTCTAGAAATCTGATAAACAAACATACATACTTTTCTGTTATAAATAAATACATATCATATGTGTGTATGCACCCAGACACTGGAAAAACACGATGTTCATCACACAATATTTTTTCAGTATTGGGGATCGAACCCACACCCTCTGGCGCAAGAGGCAGGGTCACTACTCCCCACGTCAAACGGGGTTTTGTTTTATATGAATTTTGAATTAAAATAAGTTGCTTTATTGCACTTTCAGCGTAAAGACGTGTTGGTGTTATTTTTGAAATCAATTCATATTAATTAAATAATCAATTATTTCTTGGTTTTTAGTTTTTTGTCGTTATTAAAATTTGTCTTGAACATGGTCGTATTATGCCGAATATTATTATCAGTAGGTGATTCGCCAGCATGCCTTTCACTTCCACACATAAAAGAGTGTAAATAAGAAGGCTTACTTGTCTTCTATTCTTCTCCCTCATAATAGGAAATAAAATATCTAGCAAACACTCGACAAAATATATAGCGCCCAGAACCGTCTTTCTTCGTTGTTTCGACATATATACGAATTGAAACGTCACCTTGTTTCAATTCCATTTGTGTTCGAATAATTTTATTCGCTTAAATGGCTGGCTGCCTAAGATAAACTCCCGCGGTATCTCAAGCGCTGCAGATAAAGTTTGATCTTGCACTATATAAAACCATAACACACTTTCTGAATCGCGGAAAACGAGAAGTGGTAATGAAGCGGTTACGATGAAGCTGTTAATAGCTATAGGGTAAGTTTTTAACCGACTTCAAAAGGAGGAGTTTCTCAATTCGACTGTGTTTTTTTATGTATCTAACCTCATAACTCATTTAGTCAAAATGAACCGATTTTGAGAATTCTTTTCTTATTTGAATGGTGGGGCTTCCCATGTGGTCCCATATTTATTTCATCGGTATTGGATCTTGGGCTCCGGAGATTCTTAGGGAACACCTGATAATCAATTATAAAATGAATACAGAGCGAGATATTTGAATTCTGTTTTGTTTTTCGTTAGTAAAAAAATGGTTATTGAAGTTATACTTCGTTCTTTACGGTGGTAGGGCCACGCGGCAGCCTCGGCTGTTGCACGAATGGGCAGGCCCGTCCGGGTAAGTACCACGACCTCACAGAAGACCGGCGTAAAGTGGAAGTATGACAAATACTTTCGCGTTGCGTCTGGTGAGTGAGGTGGCCGGAGCCCAATTTTCAAAAGGTTGTCAACGCATCTGTAACCCTCGAGTATAGCAGATGTCTATGGGCGGCGGTATTCACTTACCATCAGGTGAACCGTCTGCTCGTTTGGCAATTTTTCACATAAAAGAAACTTCGTTCGGTTGCAAAGCGACCAACATCAATATTACCAAGGCAACCAGTAACAAATTTTTGATATTTAACTATAATTCTATGTTATTTACTTAAAGCGTTATTTTGACAATCAATAAGTGTTATTCTTATATATTGAATAAAGATATTTTAATTTTAATTTGAATCGCATTTCGTTTTTTACAAACAAGGAGTACTGGCAATCATCTTAGTAACTGGTACCCTTGGCTCGCGAGTTATCAATAAAAATGGTAATAAAATCATGTCTGTTGAATGGGAGCTGCACTTAAATATTTTTTAATTCTATTTTGTAGTATTTTTTATTAAAGCGGCACAGAAATACATCATCTGTGAAATTTTCATCTGCGAGTCGATCTAACTATCACGGTTCGTGTCTGGTGACAGACGGACAGACAGACAGACGGACAGATAGACACCGGAGTCTTAGTAATAGGGTCCCGCCTTACCGTTCGAACCCTAAAAAAGTAAAGTAACAGCCTATAAAGGTCCACTACATTTTTTTTTTCTATGTTGTCGAATTTAAGTCGTGTACAGAGAGGACAAAGTCTGTTCGGTCCGCTAGTTTATTTATAAATTGTGAGAATACGGAGCGAGGTGACTTAACGTAGAGGTATCATTAGCGTTTTTTCAAATGTCTTTTCTTTTTTTTTCTTTCAGAATGTGTTTAGCATGCGGTGCTCTTAGCGCGGAACACAGGTTCCCCGATGACTTCATCTTCGGGGCTGCGACGGCTTCCTACCAAATAGAGGGAGGATGGAACGCGGATGGTGATTATCTTTAACACTCTTACCAATTAGGGGTGGTCAGATACTGGCCAGTTAGTATTTTAAAAAAAATACGGTACTTAGCGCCAGGATGTGAGCGGGTGGTCGACTAGACCACGATGCAGGAAATCGTATTGGCATAATTGTAAGGAATCCAGACTTTACTATAGGTCGAGTTAGGTTGAACCCCAAAAGTATTTCGGCAAGAGCGACTCTTTTAGAATCTACATCGAGCATTGTGTTTGACCAACACACCGGCGAAAATGCTCGAGGGTCAGGTGTATGACCAAATTTAGAGCATGACAACACCTAAATAACGCTATTGAAAACAGGTACCACGGGACTGTAAAGATTTGAGAAAGACAGATATTTTTAGTTGGTTTTTTTAGTTGATAAATAAATTGTTATTTATTTATCCTTTTATTTATAAATAAAGATATTACTATTGCTATTAAAAACTTTGCAGCTTCAAACCCGCGGTTCGTTTGTTTCTAGGCCATGTATATCTCGACTATCTTATGGCTAAAATGTTTTGGGTTATTGAAGCGTGTACTATTTTCGCGAGAGTAATAATTTTATTATTAACCATGAAACTGTATGTTTAACAGACAACAATATTAGTATTAAATATTATTATTCAACTTTTAAACAAACATGAAACTTGTGATAATAAAACATTTAATAATAACTTATCTGGTTTTTAATGTACAAAATTAAAACGCCAATCAATTTAGCAAAGAAAATAACATTACCTATGGAGCTAAGGCACTTTTTCACTGATTAACGACATTTAGCAAACTCACAAATCACGTTGACTACCCTCCACCGCGTCTATATATCTTTTTAAGACTAAGATTCTCACTCAGCTCGTTTCATTATTATAAAGCATATCATAAGTTGGTATATAAGAACCATAGTTTTTTTAGTATAGAGAAAGCAATATATCATAATTTGTCTCTATTAAGTCAATATGAAAAAATAATTAAAAATATTTCTATTACAGCAAAAGAAAAAAACTAAAACACAGTTATAAAAGAAATAACACAAATGCAAAGTAATATACTTTGCTGACGACGGATTGAACCTTACAGTATAAATATGATTTCCATTAGTTCCTCACTAGGCAAGCCTGTACCGAGGAAACTGAGATACGAAATTAAAAAACTCTTTATAAAAAAATTGTCTCTATTTATTGCTCTCCATCCAATACCTGAAAAATACAATTAAATAAAATCGTGGGCCTACTCACAATCCACTGGTCTGTTTCAAATTTGATAAATACAGTACACTGAGTATTCTAATTGTCTTAGATAAGAGCGAGAACATCTGGGATCACATAACGCACACCAAGCCCCACGTGATAAAGGACCAGAGCAATGGCGACATCGCTGCTGACACCTACCACAACTACAAGCGCGACGTCGAGATGATACGCGAACTTGGCTTGGACGCTTACCGATTCTCCCTCTCTTGGTCCAGGATCCTGCCTGACGCTCTTTCCAAGAGGATAAGCATAGCGGGCGTCTCTTTTTACAACAACTACATCGATGAAATGATTAAGTACGGTATCACGCCAATGATCACTCTGTACCACTGGGACCTACCGCAGAAACTGCAGGAGTTGGGTGGTTTCGTCAACCCCCTGTTCCCGGACTGGTTCGAAAACTACGCCAGGGTTGTGTTCGAGCAGTTCGGAGATAGGGTGAAGCACTGGATCACCTTCAACGAGCCAATGCAGATCTGCTACCAGGGCTACGACACGACCGTGAAAGCCCCGCAGCTAAATGCCACAGGTGTCGGCGCGTACCTCTGCGCCAAGAATCTAGTCTTGGCACATGCCAAGGCCTACCACGCGTACAAGAACGATTTCGCCCCGAGCCAAGGCGGGCGCTGTGGCATTACCATCAACGTGAATTGGTTGAGTGCAGTATCCGACTCTGAAGAAGATAAGTTCGCAGCTGAACTCTACAGACAGGCAGAGGTGGGTTAAATTATTAAACACAAGGCAAAAACATCTAGGACCGAAGATATGATTGTATGCGTTGGGATATAACAGGATTATTTGAGATCCAAAAACAGGGAGAAGACACGATAATCTTCGAGTCCTTCTAACTACTTTCCCAACGTCAGAGCGAACAACTATCCCAAGGAAGTGTCGAATATGTAGTCGAAAAGGACGTGGTTGTGTACATGATGAACATAGTCTTTTTTCTACGATTATTTTTTATTTTTATTGCTAGTCTCTACACTCAAGATGAAACTTTAAATCGTTTTTGTAGATCAATGAACAAAAATGTCGGTGCTGCGCTATCTAGACGAAACCAGAAGATGCAGGTTTGAATTCCGCAGCGCCGAAAGTTTTTGTTCATTTGTCCACAAAAGTTTAAAATTTAAAAACAGTGCTTTTCTAGAGGTATAGTGGTTATATACCACCAACCCAATCCTTATAATAATGTGGGTCCCGGCAATCTTACTCACCAGACGAAACCCAGAAGTGTAACACTTACACTTCACGCCGGTCTTCTCTGATCTGGTTGTGGTAATTACTCTTTTTTTTATGTGAAAAGTTACCAAACGAGCAGACGGTTCACCTGATGGTAAATGAATTCCGTCGCCCATGGACATCCGCTACACCCGAGGGTTACATGTGCGTTGACAACCATTTGAACATCTGCTCCAGCTACCTCACTCACCAGACGAAACGTGAAAGTATTTGTCATACTTTCACTTTACGCTGGTCTTCTGTGAGGTCGTGGTACTTACCTGGACGGGTCTGCCCATTCGTGCAACAGCCGAGGCAGCTGCGTGGCCCTACCACCGTTAACTCGGACAGACTTGCCCATTCGACAGCGAAAACTGTTGCGTGGTCGTGCCACCGATAAATATGACATAATTCTGTTGATTTAATTATATTAATAGTAAAAGTTGGACTATACTCTTAACTCTTTTGATTTTATAAGGACTTTTGCTCTAGTGGGGTTTATACGCGGATCCGATCTTCTCCAAACAAGGCGGGTTCCCCAAGGAGCTGTCTGAGAGGGTCGCCCAAAAGAGCTTGGAGCAGGGATATCCAAGATCCCGGATGCCAGAGTTCACTGACGAAGAGAGGGCTTTTGTCAGAGGTACCGCTGATTTCTTCGGGGTGAACCATTACACGGCTCAACTTGTGTCAGCCACTGGTGGAGATTTTATAGTGCCTTCTTTGAGTGATGATGTTGGCGCGACCATCTCTACACCAGAAGATTGGCCCGTGGCTGCATCTTCGTGGTTGAAGGTAAATCGATTTTTCGTTATATAGTAACAAAGTCATATTAATTATTATTATAATTAAAAATACCCGTAAGGTACATAACTTATTGTAAGTTACTTTACTGTAAGGTAAGTGCCGTGGATAAAATCTTTTGTACATGGTTTACGTGCAAGTCTGTCTCGGTATTACTGCTATGGTTGCTATGATGTACTATTATGCATTATATTATTTGTTTCTCATATCTTTTTTGTCTTGGATAAACATTAATGTCAGTACTATGAATATTCTACAGCAAGCGCCGGATAGTATCCTCAACGCGCTCACCCAACTCAAGGAGAGGTACGATAGTCCAGAATTTTATATAACGGAGAATGGCTGGTCAAACCTACCAGACGCTGGACTTTGGATGACGACAGGATTCGGTACTACCGGGCGGCATTGGAGAGCGTCCTCGATGCCCTCGACGCTGGCGTGAACCTAAAGGGCTACATGGCCTGGAGCCTAATGGACAACTTCGAGTGGATGCAAGGCTACACGTGAGTTTTTTTTATGTGAGAAGGTGGCAAGTGAGCTAGAGGTTCACCTGATGTTAAGTGATAACCACCGCCGTCATTTGCAACACACGTAGGGTTGCAGATCTGTTGCCGCCTCATAATGCAATGGGCCCCGGCTACCTCACTCAGCAGACGAAACACATAAGCATAACACTTCCACTTGACGCCAGTCTTCGGTCGGCCGGACCTGTCCATTCGTGCAACAGCCGAAGCCGTTGCATGGCCCTTCGACTACTTGTAGTCGCTCTTACAGGTGTTGCAAACTATGACCGTGTACAAATTTCGATTGGTCCGGAAATGAATTGGCAAGGAGTTTTTACTTACCTGACGCTGCATGATGGACTGGATTGACCACGAAGAACGACGTCCTAACATTAGATTGGCATTAGAAAATATTATTCGCATTTTCACCCTATCGCGGCTTATCTAAAGAAGCAAGGTTGAGTGTTTGACCTTTTGTTGTGTTGAATATAATATATCAAATTATTTTAACGTAATTATTTATATCATCGTAATTACTGAACAAACATATTTTGATAACTTATACATCGTCAAATTTGGTGTTATTGCGTTATTAAAATTATAATAAATCAAATGGCGGATTTTTGAAGTCATATATCATACATAGTTTTAAAAAAAAATATATAAATGCATTCGAGTATTTTAGTTTTTATTTCAATTATTAGCTTATTCCTTTGCAAAAAGTGTTTGTCGTACGGCAGTTGGATGCTTCAGTTTTTTTTATTGACATCTTCTTTTGTGTAATCCCTCACTCACCGTACGAAATTCTAAGGGCGACGCAGGTCGACCATTGTAAAGACCGAAACATACGGCGCTCCTCTCGGTCATGACTTATATAAAATATATACTTTAAAAATATATCAAATATATAATAAATTAATTTTTTATCTTCTTTTTCGTCATCATTTTTATTTTCTTTTTCGTTTTAATTTTTTTCTATTTTATTTTATTATAAACTTTTCCCTTACTGTAGGATAATATTATTGTGTTATACGGACGTTTTGCATGCCCAAATTTCACGTATTGAATTAGAAATGTTTAGTCGCCAAATTACGTAGGAACGTAATGAACCAACTGTTTCAGAGAACGCTTCGGCCTCTACCAAGTGGACTTCGAGGATCCAGCGCGCAGCCGCACGCCCAGGAAGTCGGCATTCGTCTACAAGCAGATCGTCAAATCGCGCGTCATCGACCACGGCTACGAGCCAGACTCCATGACCATGGCCATCGACGAAGGTCACTGATGCCAATAAAGCGATTTAAAAACAAAACGTGTACATATATTTTTGATTGCGACCGGCAAGCTTAAATCGACTGCGTAAAGTCTATTTTTAAATATCATTGATACTTCGATCGAAACAAATTATACTCTGTCGAGCTAAAAATTAAACCTCCATATTTTTGAAGTGAAAACTTTTTTATGCGCGTTCAGCATTTTTTGGGTGAACAAAAAGCGTGAATCCCGCTTCATCGTCACGGATCTCTTTCCATGAGCTATTTTCAAACAAGTAGAATATAATTTAAAAAACTAAAAATCCCGACTGCTTTTCTGATTATTTTTTTATTTTGACTTACCCAGTGTCACTCTCACAGTGAATAAGAATCTAACGACACCTCTCAAGCTAAAATCCATCAAGCCGCCCAGGCTGCAGAGCGTGCCAAGCAATTATACGTACATGCATACTCTATAAAAACATAACCCTCCTTCCGGCGCAGTCGGGTAAAAAGGTATACGCAAAAAATATTTGTAGTTATTGATATGAATTCTGTTATAATTGGAGTGTTTTTAAAATATTTAGAATTAAATATTACAATTTTAATTTCGATATTTATAATTCGTATATAAATTGTATATGTTCACGAAAATGGAAGTAAATATATGTGTTTATGTAGACATTTCCGCACTTTTGTTTACAAATAGTTTTGCCGATAAAACAATGAGATTGTAAGATATGAAGCGATAACTTAGAGACTGTCAGCGTAAGATGTATAAGTGGCAAAGAAAAAAGTCAAAATACCTTTATGCAACTTAAGATAAGGTTGGGTGAGCGGTTGTAAAAATGTACATTGTATCCGTGGCCACGCAACAGTTTTCACTGTTGCATGAACAGGCAGGTCCGTCCGGGTAATTACCGCGACCTCACAGAAGACCGGCGTAAAGTAAAAGTGTTACACTTCTGCGTTTCGTCTGGTGAGTAAGATCGCGGTGGGGCGGGGCCCACTTTATTAAAGGTGGCAATTTGCGTGGGGTGTTGCATATGTCCATGGGAGGCAGTTATTACTTAATATCAGGTGAACCGGCAGGTTGTTTACCACTTTATCGCATAAAAAAAATATCTAAAACTACATATTATCTATTATCTAATAAACCATCCTTTTGGCAACTAAAATGAAATTTGAAAAGCATTTGACAGCTGATTAGTTGACATCTACGATGATCAGTGTTTCAGAAACCGGGTGTGAGACCAACAATCACCGGAAATTCGAAGACATATCTAGCAATAAGACTAATCGGTTCTGGAGTCCAGCCTTTCCCGTCTCAGTTTAATCCCCGCTGCCGGCGCCAATGAAAATGTTAATTTTAAATGCCGACGTGCTCAGCGTTGAAGGAAAACAACGCATATATTCGAAGTAATAACAAAAAAAAAATATTTCGATGCTCTGTGAAGTCCGCAGTAGCTAGCCAAGTTCCCACGTATACTTGACGGCAATTATTATATAACATAGATGTGGTTGTTTTGTTATTGATATCCAGTTTCAAGTGTCGAGATACGTCTTGCTGATACTCACACGTCATTACTCTGTATCAGTCCCATAAGATAACGTTTAAAAAAGGATTCTGGTCAGCCTTGAGTCAATACAAACCAAATAGGTTAGGAGGCAGATGCCGGGTGTAAGTTCAGTAACTGTGGCAGGGCTACGCAGCAGCCTTGGCTGTTGCACGAATGGGCAGGCTCGTCCGGGTAAGTACCACGACCTCACAGAAAACCGGCGTATAGTGGAAGTATAATAAATACTTTCACGTCTGGTGAGTGAGGTAGCCGGAGCCCAATTTTAAAAAGGTTGTCAACGCATCTGCAACCCTCGGGTGAAGCAGATGTCTATAGGCTTCGGTGATCACTTAACATCAGGTGAACCGCCTGCTCGCTGGGCAACTTTTCACATAAAAAAGGTAAAGAAACAGCCAATGAATGTCCCTGTACAGACTTGTTATGTTCATGTTACTAGGACGTAGTCCACCACACGACTCCACTGCGATTGCGGGCTCGTATCCTATTTTCTGATGAACCCAGATTTGGTTTTTAGAAGATTGCGTGTGTGGCGTGTTTTGGCGATCATTTTTTTCATTCATTCATTAATTATTTTTTTCTATTTTTTAAACAAACCTAAAATGCTTCTGTTCATATACAATTGTTTATTTTAAATGTCTAAACATTTTAAGTTATCTTTGAAAAACAGCTGGAGTTAAGACTCCAGCTGTTTTAATAATAGTCTAAGGACTATGTTAACTAGTGTATTTTAGGTGAGACTAGGGAGATGTGACGTTGACTAAAATGTAATAATATATTTACTTTATTTTCTAAACATTTACAAAGTTTTAAGGGCAGTCGTGTTAAAAACCTATCAATGGCCGTCGTCTATAGTCATGGTCATGGAGTCAGGCTCGTAGTCGTGGTCGACAACGCGCGTTTTTAAGATCTGCTTGTAGACGAAAGCCGACTTTCTGGGTCTGCGGGTACGCAAAGGGTCTTCGAAGTCTACTTCATACAGGCCGAATCGTTCTCTGAAAAAATTACAAGGGCGAATGAAGCTATTCTTAGTGATATTGACATAACAAGCTATTTATTCGGACGAATATAAGCGTGAAGGAAGATTGGGGATAGTAACGGAATGTTGGTTAATTCAGTACTTTTTTTTTAAATTAATTTTCTATTTTCAATCTTGAATTCAGTTAATACAAACGATCTAAAAAATAAAATCATCATTTCATAGATAGTGTATAAATAGATGCAAATAAAACAATATAACATGTCATTGACCTCAAAACTCTTAGTACTTACGTGTATCCCTGCATCCATTCGAAGTTGTCCATAAGACTCCACGCCATGTAGCCCTTGAGGTTCACGCCAGCCTCCAAGGCATCCAGAACGTTCTCCAATGCCGCCCTGTAGTATCGGACCCTGTCGTCGTCTATCAGCCCAGCCTCTGGAGTGGTGGACCATCCGTTTTCCGTTATGTAGACCATTGGGTTGTTGTACTTGTCCTTAATGTTCATAAGGACACTCAAGAGACTGTCGGGTGCTTGCTGTAAAATAAAACAGTAAAAGTAAAATAAAACTCGTAAATATTCAAACACTTATCGGTGAACACAGCTTTATTAACATATACTTATACCCTAATTAAAATAAATTAATCTATTAACTAATGTGACAAAAATGTAGCTACAAAATAAAATTTTTAGTTACAGTAATAACTTGCAAATACGTCAAAAGTAATTATACTTTTGACGTACTTGCAATGGAAACTGAAATATTTTCAATGAACGATTCTGGTATTTTAGTGTGGTATGTGCATGGAATATTAAAAAACTTATAAAAAATTTCAACTTTTTTTTAATCGTATCTACAAAGTCGGGCATCCGAGTTTAGTTCGTGCATCCGAGTTGGATTTGCCGATGGACCTCTGCGTCGATGTTTAATTTACCTAGCCGGACTAACCGTTCTAAGTAAACGTCATCAAAACGTTCGAGCACAGTGCTCCTAACAACATCTGATATAGGCGTGAAATCGACATTAGATATGATCTTCGGCTTAGTCATGTTCATTTTCAGGAGAGAGACACTTTTCTCATAACACAGGTCATTGAGTATAGTCCCAAGGTCCTTCAGACAACTACGTTATCGGCAAATCGAAGATGGGTGATGTATTTCACATTAATGCATACCTAGTCCTCTCCGATCCAGAAGCTTCAAAAGTGAAAGATGGCAATTTGACTTGTCACTAAACTACTTGTAAGAGTAATTCTAATACTAAATATTTAACTCAAAGAAGAAGAATAATTTTTTTATGTGAGAAGGTGGCGAGTGAGCTGTTAGTTCACATGATGTTAAGTGATAACCGCCGCACATGGACATTTGCAACACCCGAAGGGTTGCAGATGAGTACGATATACCAAACGAAAACTACTAGCTTATCATCAGACCTTCAGCCAAGATGACGCAGAAGGCAGCCACTCATCCACCGCAATTATTCCGACGTTGATATCATCATATACAGACGGCACTGGGTGTTCCTCCAGATTTTCCTTTGCGGAGACGATCTGAGCTGTGTAATGATTTATCCCGAAGAAGTCTGCAGAGCCCTTGACGAAATCCCTCTCCTCGTCGGTGAACTCTGGCATTCGAGACTTGGAGTAGCCTTGTTCAGCGCTCTTCTGATCGACCAGTTTCTTTAGGTCCTTCGGGAACCCGCCCTCCTCTGAGAATATTGGTTCAGAGTAAATGCCCCACTGCAAAAAATTTCGTTATTCATCAGTACCTGCACACTTTTGAACGAAATTATTAGAAAACTAGAATTTGTGGAAAAAGTGGAAAAGTAGAAATCTGTCATTGTAGCATTCTCCACGTGCTTGGTATAGTCAGGTTTAGTACCTGACTATATTTCTGTAACCCATCAGCGAGATCGTTTCCTGATAGGTAGTGTCTCCTTTTTTCTTTTGTAATATTTCATATTATTAACATTTCCCCGATAAAAAAGAAACGCAAATACACCGTTCAATCTTACAATGTGTCAGTTATAACAGTGACTTACATGCTGGTGATATAGCCTTACAGAAAATAAATCATAAATATTATCTATAGCACGCAAGGGGTTGCACAGCATGTCCATGTTTACCCAATTAAACAGAAACGAAACGAAAAATTGTCAAGACACTACACAAGAGACTTACTTTACTTCATAAAGGTCTTCTCTATGACCCCCGCTACTTTCTCGACGACCCACAAAATTTGTAGCATTGTTCATTCGCAGTAGAAACTGACCATTAGATTGTTGCAATGGTAAAGTACTCACATCAGCCTGTCTCTTCAGATCGGCTGCGAACTCATCTTCCTCCGAATCGGTTTCCGGCGCCATCCATGTAACTGCATACGTGATCCCACATATGCCTTCTTCTCCAGCATACTCATTTTTGTAGGCGTAATACGCTCTAGCGTGCGCCAAGACCAAATGCTTGGCACAAA